AGAGAGAGAGAGAGAGAGAGAGAGAGAGAGAGAGAGAGAGAGAGAGACTGTGCATCTCTTTCCTCTCCCGCACACACACATGCAGTCCAGCTGCCAGTTCCAGCACTACACTCCCCTCTCTCTCTCTCTCTCTCTCTCTCTCTCACACACACACACACACACACACACACACACACACACACACACACACACACACACATGTAGCGCAGCTGCCACTTCCAGCACAATAATATCCTCTAGGTATGCTATCATTATGAGATGCCCGCGTTAAGGCTCACATAGTGGTCCGCATTTACAAAGAGTGACTGGGTAGCAACTCCCGAAGATACGGAGAGTGTGGAGAGTGTGGTGGTGGTAGGTACCCATGATTTGCTGGTAAACCTCTTCCACCGCGAAGAAGACAACCGGCTCAGGAAGTATCATCCGGATAGCCTGAGATGGTGGAAGAAGACTGACCTGCACTGAATCCGGGTGCTCCGGACACAAGACGACTCGACAGCGTTTTGCCCAGAAACCCCGCTCGCAGAACTCCCTTTCGACCCGGAGAAGTGGCAATGGACCTCCAAGTGCAGATTGCGGCCGCGGATGCAAACAAGAAATTATTCTCTCTCTCGGTAAAAGCTACATACTGTATGTTGCGTCCCAAACTCAAATCTAAAGGAGACGGTGAGGGAACGGTGGATGTCTCACCTGAACGTGCGGCGGGAGGCAGTCAACCCCATTCGATGGTTCACGGCCACAAAGGCCAAACCGGCAAAATTAGCCTCCCTGCAATGGCAGATTGAGCACCGCTGCCTCCCAACCAACAACTGGCTAATAGACCGGACGTATTTGGAACAGATGGGTTTAGCAGTGCCATGGTGCAATGGTGCAAATCCTGCCTAGCCTCCTACCCCCACCGCAAAATTCCTGAGACCATTGAACACATTTTCATGCAATGCCCGGGGGCGGTTCTTACCTGGCGCTGGTGGGACAGGGTCTGGAGACAACTGGACACTGAATCCCAGTGGCCTTGGTACTGATGAGAGCTGTCCTATGTGAAACCTGGTCCTCCCCCACGCACAATACATTTGAAGATAACATGTTTAAGACAGGGAGGAGGGCAATCAATTGGGCACTATGGAGAAAATGGTGCATTCACGCTATCGAAGGTTTCAGAATAGAGAAAGAAGAAGTTATGGAAACGATTAAACAATACGTCCAAGATGAGCTGCGGGCACATTGGTTGAAGGTAAAATCACAACTACCTTCTTAACCCGAAAAAAAACGTACGTACGTTCTATTCGAATTACCTCTGGAAATCGGGTTTTCAGAAATCGCTTGTTTTTCCCCGAATAGAGTGTACGTTCAAATATATTACAACGTACCTATGTTGTATTCGAACACAACGTACGTATGTTGTATTCGGATTTTTGGAACTTTGATTTTTCAAAAATAATTAAAAAAATCCCACAAAAATAAAATGTTATACAACAATGCAAATACAAACAACGTTTGCCTGAGTGTCTTATCGAAATTCACGACAAAATTCGAGAAAAAAATAAAAACGAGGATGGAAATGTTTTTTACTGATTTTTTTCAGAACTTCGATTAAAAAAACTTCCGTAAAAAATCCGAAAAAAAAAGTATGCTGTACAACATTGCAATGCAAACAACTTTTGCCTGAGGGTCTTGGCGAAATTCCCAACCAAATTTGAGATAAAAACAACTTTTTTACTACAGGCTTCTGAAAAGTTGTACCCTAAAACTCGTTCTATAACGTACGTACATTGTATTCGAATACAACTTACCCCGTGCGTTGTATTCCTACAAGGTACGTACGTTTTTTTCGGGTTAAGAAGGTAGACAGCCTTAACACAGAAAAAGGACATATCCCAAGCTATCAAACAATTCTCAGGGGACTGGTTGGGGACTGAGCAAGGGGGGGTTGGATAGCCTATATTCATTCGATGGAAAGAAGAGGTTCCCCCGGAGCACGGTCAAGGCGAGCTAAGAAGAGAGATTACACCCTTTGTTTCAAGGAATGGATCAGGACAGACCCTGCAATACCGCTGCGCCCCTCATCGGAGTTCCCTGACCCCTTCCCGCCCCACGGACTCTCAGTGGTGGATCTGCTGCAATGGTACGGAGCAGAATAAATTCATGCCATGCCCAAAATTGTAGCAGCCTTCAAGCAACAGCCAAGCCCAGAAAGCGGAACTGCGACAGGGCGTGTGGACGCAGCGGGGGGAGGAAGAAATTAAATCTTAGCAACAGAACCTGCACGGTTAATCCTCTGGACACCAGAGCAATCAATGCTGGTAGGTGTTTTCTTAGTACACCTCGTGAAGGAAAACAGATCGTCATACTGTGGCAATAGGGGAGGGAGGAACTAGGGTGTAGCAGTGTATCCGGCGCCGCCGGGTTCAAGATGAAGAGGTTCCCCCTTCCTCCTAATATCCTGCCCAGTCAATCCCCTGGACCCCAGGGCAATCAATGCTGGCAGGAACACCCCACAATTGTTTTTCTGCTGTGCTTCAATTTCAGTTTGCATAAGGGACGCTAGACCCGCTTTCCAGCAGGTGATGCTCCCCACCACACCAATCGATGGAGCCTCTCCCCAGGCGTTAGTGGTGTCTGCTCTTAGCAGCACCGCTAACACTGGTGGGGGCGACTTCCATTCAAAAAAAAAAAAAAAAAAAAAAAAAAAAAAAAAAAAAAAAAAAAAAAAAAAAAGGCTCACGTAGTGTGCAAAGGAAATGGCAACGACTCAGTAGCTGAGAATCACCACCTCCATAATAGTTGTTGTCTCAATGAGCGAGACGCATGAGGGGGACCAACCAAATCCAATCCAGTACACTTCAGAAACCGAGAGTATATACATATATATACATACACGTGCAATCAGAGAATTTGTCCACATGTCCTACCGTAGCAATGTGACGACTGTTAGAGCCAGGTCCTAAATCCTATGGGCCGAAAGGTCTGCCAATCTGTGAACCTGGTCCAGAAACCGTCCAAATGCATGCAGAATATCCTACAAACTCTGCCATTTACCACCAACAAATTTACACGTTCATACAATGGGCCCCCGCTCGACTACGCAACACTCTATATTTATCTGGAGCTCATAAGTGGACCTACACATTCAAAATGCTGGACTCGGGTGAATGCACATAGTCCACAAACCGTCCGAATGCATGTAGTGTTTCGAGTAGTGGAGCAAGGCCCAATGCCGTTCCCCAAATGGCCACATCATCAGAACCTGTCACTACATCCCACCACGGCAGAGAGCCCTAGTGTCCGTCGAGATTGAAGAAGCCCCCATATATCAGATGATGGATCGTCTTTTTTTTTCTTTTCCCAATATTTACCGCCGCCTTTTTTCTGTCATGGGTAGCCCCCTTATTTTGGAACGACCAGGTTCTTTTCTATTATTAATATATATATATTATGTTTTGAAAACAAAAGATTCATTCCAACAAATGACCTACTGTTTCCTCGGCCTACTCTCTTCGTTGACATTCAAGGATTCAAAAAAAAAAAAAAAAAAAAAAAAAAAGGACATTTTTCTCCAGCAATGACTATGGAGCCCCTGATGTATATATAACCAACCATATGAGGAAAAAAAACAAGGGAAAGCCCACTGACTGCATACTCACCAAACTAGAACTCTCTAGACGTATCTGGCCCTGATTACAGCAAAGGCGTCCACACAGTTCACAACTCAGTGGAAAAAGCATGGTTACCAGAGTGCTCTCATTGCAGAGCGAGCTTCACACCAAGACAAGATTGCACATGAAGGGTAGAACAAAACGACGAACAGAGCCGCAGTGCGAAGAGAACGCGAGAGTTGAGCAAGCCCGGGGGGTGAGGGGAACCAATCTGCCGGAAGAAGCGAAGCGTCCGACTGCTGCCCCGTTTCGGCGTGTTTCCTGTCCCCCAATCCAATCAACAGCTGAAGCTGCGGTTCTCCAGATGACGATCCTGCATAAGCAGACTCACCACAACAGGACACCGATCTTTGTAAAATCTACTAAACCGATGACGCTACTTCCAGGCCACTTTTGCCCACGGCTTCAAACGCCCTCCCTGTCCACCAAAGAAGCATGAACCTGTGCACGCCTCATTTTGGTTGGTGCCGCCAGCCATTTTGCTCCCGCTGCCCACCCCGGAAGCTGCGGCAGCATCCACAAAGCGCACAGCAGAAAATGGCTCGGAAATGTACTGGTGGTTTAAGGTCACACATTAAGAATTGGATTAATAGGGATCTCACCCCTGTAATCCTCTAGCAAATCTTCTTCTCCCTCATTCACCCGGTCCTCGCCAACACAGATCGCTGTTGCCATGTTTCTGTCGCTGATCATGCCCTGCCTTAACCGTGTTGCTCTTGCAGCTTCCGCTGCCGCCTCGAGTTGAGTACGTTTACAGACTTGTCAAACTCCCCCAATTGGCATATAAAGGGCCATTTTTGACTTGTTGCAAATGTAGGCTCGCAAGGGCCAATGAATCCCCAGAGTAGAAAAGGAGGGCCTTTGACTTGCATGTCTGGAGAACTTGGGGCATTCTGACTTGCCAAAGCAGGAAAGTCGACGCCTTTCCGACTTCACCAAATACGACTTGCAAGCTTTGGCAAGTTGGCAGGTTCGGACTTGCCAAAGTAGGAAAGGAGATGCCGATCTCACTTTGACAAAGCAGGCGGCAGAGGTAGGCAGCACTATATCACTGTAGACAACCAGCAGCCTTTATTTCCAAAGTGGGCAGGGCAGGTAGGCGCTTCAAAACTGCAACAGTAGGAACACAGGGCTGCTGTGACTTGCCAAAGTAGGAAAGGGGGAGAGGCCTTTCTCACGTCAAAAAGTAGGGCAGGTAGTCGGCAGCACTATCACTTCAGACAACCAGGAGCCTCGATTTCCAAAATTGGGCAGGTAGGCGCTTCGAAAGGCAACTGTAGGAATGCACGGCCGTTGCGACTTGCCAAATGCCTCCCCAAAAATACGGCTTTGACTTCACAGAGCAAGAAAGGAGGGACCTTGACTTCCTCGTGTAGGCACGTTCGAAGTTCGGACTTCCCAGAGTGGCAAAGTTGAGGCCTTTCTCACTTCACAGAGAAAAAAAGGGAAGTAGGTGGCACTGGACTCACCAGTGTAGACACCCACAAACAAACGTCCATTCCTCCCCAAAAGTACGGCTTTGACTTCACAGAGCACGAAAGGAGGGACCTTAACTTCCTCGTGTAGGCGCGTTCAACATTCGGACTTCCCAGAGTGGCAAAGTTGAGGCCTTTCGCACTTCACGGAGAAAAAAAGGGAAGTAGGTAGCACTGGACTCGCCAGTGTAGACGACCACAAACAAACGTCGATTCCAAAATAGGCAGGCAGGTAAGGGCTTCGAGTCAGCTAACTGTAGGAATGCATGCAGGGCCCTCTCTTGCCTTCCCGGATTCCTTGGCAAAAGTAGGGCTTTCTCAGAGGAAGAAGGTAGGGGCGTTTTTACTTGCAGATATAGGCAACGTCCGCTGTTCCGACTTTCCATAGTAGGAAAATAAAGGTCCTTTGGGCATTTATAAACCAGGCTAGTAGGCAGCATTTGACTTATATCGGCGGGGACCACCACGAGCCTTGCATTCCGAAATAGGAAAGTCGTGGCTTCCAGTTACCGCAGTAGGAATGTGAAGGGGCCTTTTGACATGCTGAACACCTTTCCACGGTAGACAAGCAGGTGCCTTGACTCACCCCATCACACCTCCGACTACTCCCTGAGTCTAATAAGAAACACCGGTTGGACCCAAGAGAATGGCTCTGCAGACGAACAGGCAAAATGGTAAAAGAACTTTAAAGAAGTGACGCAACTCCTTTTTTCTTTTTTTTTTCTTTTTTTTTTTTGAAGTGATGCAACTCCTAAGTACAGGTGACGTGAAAAAAAAACAGAAAAAAAAAGAGATCACTTTATCTTCAGTTGGGCTTCCAAAAGTTCGTTCCTTCAAATAGGAGAAGGGTTTCAAACCCCCAAAAAAACATCCCCCCAAAAAGCCAAATTGACACACTTGAGCTCAGCTGTGCATAAACCCAAAAAAAAAACACTACAAACTAAGCAACCATTTTATTCCAAAGTTCCAAAAAAACTTAAAAAAAGAAAATACTACGGGTTAAGGGTATTTAAAAAAGAATAAAATAAAGCTAAGGGTCTTGGTAATCCCACACTCAAACCCGCTGCCGGTGAGCAAAGGTGCCAAAATGGACGACTGGCAGAAAAATGCTTCAAAGATACTCTCGCTGCAGAACACGAGGAAGTCAAAATTGGCTGCCACAGAGAGAGAGAGAGAGAGAGAGAGAGAGAGAGAGAGAGAGAGAGAGAGAGAGAGAGAGAGAGAGATTGTACAGGTGCAAATCCAGCACACAATTAGGGACGGACCGCCTACTACGATAGTCTAGTGCCAATGTCTTGAAAGAAACGCGTCTCTTTGCAGATCTGCTCTAGGTCTCACTTCTCCCCTCCTGGGGAATATCTGACCATCAAAACGAAGAGAGGGAGGGAGGGAGGGAGACATGACCAACGATAAGCAGCCTACTCACAAAATAGCATCTGCCTAGCATAGGACTTGCTGCAAACACGAGGAGGCAGCAGCAGCCTAACCTAACGAGGCATCTAACCTAATTACCAGAAGGCTAACCAGGCAATCTAATCTCTCACCTGAAGACTACCCGTACCAGACATCTAAAGCAGAGGGGAAACCAGGCGGCTAACCCCAACAGACATCTATCCTCAATAGGCATCTATCCTCAATAGACATCTATCCTCAATAGACATCTAACCTTACCGGAAGAAGGATAAGCAGGTGGCTAACCTAACGAAACTAGGCATCTAACTTTTTTTTTTTTTTTTTTTTCCCTCAGAAGGTTAGAAGGCAAGGCATAGGAAGAATGGGTACATACAAGTTGATACAACAATACGAGACGCGAATGGGAAGATTAAAGAAAAAAAAAAACACGGAGATTGACTGTTGGGTGGTGAGTGGGAAAAAAAAATTAAAAAAAAATGGGCACGGCAAGTTCGACGATGGGCAGAGCAGATTGATAGCAAAGAGCAGCAGCAGCAGCAGCACATCGGTGAAGGACGTGCAAGTAAGGCAAAGAGACAACTTGCTGACGAGAGACAACCCCCTGTATGCATCGATCAGATCACAAACGAAAGGAAAAAGAGGACTGATGTACACTGACTAAGCAGGTTCTCGGTCAGTACAGTGCATCTATATAGGAATACCACAAGAGTTCCCTGAGAAGAAATGGCACAAGAGGGGGGTGGTAAGAAGAAGGACACGGTTACTGAGGAGTACAGCGCACAATCTGTCGTGAATACATTCATGTCTCAATGGGGCTGAGGAGTACCACGACCCCAGTTGGGTGACAGCTGTGCTTCATCATTATCTATACAAACAAACAGACTTTCACAAGGATTGAGGGTTCATCCGCAAGAAAAATAACTCAGACCGGTTGAAAGAAAATAGATGATATGAATCGATGATATAGAAGGGGGGAGAGGGGGGGGGGGGGGGGGGGGGCGAACAGAAACAGAAGAAACAGAACGTCGCCAAGACAGATGCAGCCGAAAAGCTTATTATAACATAATACAAGTGCATTCTCACCGGCAGGTGAACAAGATTGCGTCGCAGAAGAAAAGGACGGCATTCCTCTGGGGCTCCGCTTCACGATGCATTGATCTGAAAGCACCACAGAAAAAAGTGAAGAACACAGCAGACAGCCGCCGCTTGCAACCTCGTCGAGCAGGGAAGGTTCGGCAGCGAGTGATAGCAGGCAAAATTCCCCCCGTAGCTAGTCCGTCTGTGTATTGCTGGTCACAAGCCATGTAGAGCATGCCTCTGTATACAGCGTCGTTCTGCCACAAAAAAAAACTCGACCATACGTCCATCCAGAGGGTGTCAAAGGCATCAAGAAAACAACAGACGGCTCCTCGCAACACCATCAGATCAGGAAGATTCAGCAGCAAGAGCGCGCAGGTAACGTTCGCGGAACTCGTCTGTGTATTGATGCTCACAGCCCATACAGAGCATGCCTCTGTACACAGGGTCGTTCTGCCACAGAAACTCGACGATACGTTTGGGTTCTTTCGTCCAGAGGCAGTCAAAGGTGTCGCATGTCCCGTCAACTTCGCAAGAACTAGTTGTCGTCGTCATCGGCGATCCAATGACGACCCGATCGATGCCGTACGCTTCAGAGTCGTCTTGATGCCGAAGATCAAAGGTGACTCTACGTCGTCCAGGGGTGCCGCTGACCGTCTCCGATTTCGCTGGGCGGTCGCTACTCCTCAGGACACTCGTGAGTGGAATCGCCTTTCCACCAACGGCGCGCTGGAGCGGAGAGGGTGGAATCCGAAGCGCACTTTGACAACCACTCCCTTCTCTTGCTCTCGCGGCAATGGGTTGGCGATTGCCTGCATCAACAGTCTTCGCCATGTAGCCGACAACATGCCTTCTGCTCGCTCCATCTTCACCTCTCTCTTCTATCCTCGCAGGACGTTCGCACAGGGATTCAAGGTCCTGCAACGCAGCAACCTGTGACAATGAAGGAACGACGGTGCCGTTGCCTTCGTGCAAAAACGGCAAACGCTCGTTTCCCTTTGTCTGCACCTGCACTTGTGAACCGTCTTCGCACCCACTGAATGCGACAGCAGGGAGTTGAGTAGGGGAGCAAGCCACCCTGTCGTGCTTTTCTGATGCGGTAGGCCGTGACTCCAAAGTGCCTTCCTTCACCTTTGTTGTCGATTCATAAACGATGGGGGCTGCATGGCTGTGCAGAGTGTTGCTGTCCTCAGTTGCATCACAAGGCACCCTATTGCGCTTTTCTGATTGGGTTGGCGGTGATGTCGAAGTGCCATCCTTCACCTTTGTTGACGATCCATACGCTACAGAGGCTGCATACTTGTGCAGGGCGTTGCTCTCCTTGGTTACATCGGAGCGTTTTCCACGAGCAGCCGAAGAAATCCCTCCCTTTGATAGGCGGTAATAATTCAGAAGGTTATTTGAAGTAGCTTTCTTGCTCATCACCTTCATCGCGTTTGTTCTTCTTGTAATCATCCCTTGACGAACAGATGGAACAGCAGCCGAGTTGATCTTCCTCCTCTGCGTTGGCATGGAGGGCGGGAAATGATTATCTATCAGACTCCCTTTGCCTCCTTTATGCCGTCCAACACCCTTTTTCCAGGAAGGCCTTGGAGACCGTAACGCCTCCCCCCTTTCAACCTTGCCGGCAGCAGAAACCATATCCCCTCCTTTTCCTTTGAGAACTCTGTCACTCACTCCTCCCTCGGCACCCTCGGAAACAAACCCTGGAGCAGAGCTTTCCATCTTCTTCACGACATCTTTTTCTTCATCATTCACCACCTCCACTGCCTCCTCCATGTCATCATCCGATTCATCACTGCTGTCTCTCAGGTCAACCACATCTTCACAAACAAGCGATGTCCGCTTAGAGTCGTTGGTAAGCCCTTTTTCCTCTTTGATATCGCCATCCATCGACACGAGTAAACAATCGTCATCGTCATCATCATCATCGGTAGCATCACAGTCTAGTTCTTTTTCCTCCAGAGCATCTGCCTTCACCTCTATCTCCTTTATCTCCTTCTTGGATGCTGTGCCACTCGTAAGGCCCCAGAAAGAGCCCACAGCCGTTTGCGCAGAGTCGATGGCTGAACGCGGGCTGGCTATTGTGAGCCCAACCAAGCTAGACTTCAGCACAGGACGTCTACGCAGCGACCTTGACGATGATGTTTCCATCAGCGGTGTCACTGGTTGCTGCAGAAGTTCACCTCCTCCTATATTCTTCACGAACGGATCCTCTCCTTCGACGCTCTTCTGGTAAGGAGTGTCAATCTGAGAATGGGGAGGCAGCATCATTTTGGATTCGTTCCGGGGGATTGGAAACGACCGTGTCTGTGTCTTGTCCTGGCTGTGGTACTCCACACTCGCCCCTCCCTCCTTCCTCCCTTTTTTCCTTGCCGACAAGCAGATAGGACTGCCCTCGTCTCTCCCTGCACCGGAGCCAATACTACACCACCCACTCCTCCTCTTCCTCTCCGACAACCCGGACGGTGTTACGACTCTCGGTGTCATTGCGTTTGATGGCGTTGCAACTCTTGGTGTCATTGCTTTCGATGGCGTTGCAACTCTCGGTGTCATTGCTTTTGATGGCGTTGCAACTCTCGGTGTCATTGCTTCTGACACCCCTACTGATGATATCGACGGCGAGCAAGCACCGCCAATTGATGGTGTACCCGGAGACCACCTCCATTCCTGTGTTCCAGTTTTCTTACTCTCACCAACTGCTCCAAATCTCTTTCTTGATGGCGGATCGGGCGTCTTCAAGCCATCCATCATGAATTCTTCGTTAGACACCTGTATGCCACAATGTGGTGCAGCGGACCCTTCAATACGAGGCCGCAAGTTTAAGAACCATTTTGACCATCTGCAGAATTCTTCCAAATCATTTAGGCTGATTTACCTCTTTGGAGTGATTGACAATCCTCTGTGTCAAAGCTGGTTGTGCCTGACACTCTTGCTCTGGATGCTGTGATCTGCACAGCACAGAAGTCCGCCGCATGACAGTGATCAAGCTCAGAGTTCAAACAGTGGGGTATGTATGTAACATAACTCTTATAATTGATTGAGTGTTGAAACGAGCCGTGTGCAAATTTACAAAAACAACAACAACAACAACAAACACAGTGAAACAAACAGAGCTCTCAAGCCTGCCAGCTGTGCCTGATAATCTTGCTTTGGATGTTGTGATCTGCATATAGCACACAAGTCCACATGACAATGACCAAGCTCAGAGAGTTCAAATGGTGAGGGGGGGGGACGGGGTATACACAACATAAGTCGTTACAGCCGCCGATTGAAACAAAGTTAACAAAGAACAAAGAAAGCTCCAATCTATTCGAGGGAGCAGCACGTGCTCGGAACCGGGCCCAGCGTCCCATATAAAATTTGTACAGAACAATTTGAGGTGCCAGGGGCATTACCCGGGTTCGGCTGAGAAGAACAGAGCATAGGAAAAACTCCTCCTGTATTCAGGGAACCGCTGAAACCATATCATTCTCAAATCCACAGACGTCCAAAGAAATCATCTGAATAATCAAATGAACCGAGTTCACACCAAGCTCGATCCTCACACACATGCAGTGAACATTCACATCAGAGTTCACATGTGCGACGCCCAAGTCGAGATACAATCAGCACATGAGGAAATCGTCACCAAATTATTATTATTATGATACAAAAAATGTTACTATCTCCAGCGACGATGCCGCATACACACATACACACACTGTCACACCCAGAGAGAGAGAGAGAGAGAGAGAGAGAGAGAGAGAGAGAGAGAGAGAGAGAGAGAGAGAGAGAGAGAGAGAGAGAGAGAGA